CTACATAGAAAGTGTCCTAATACTTATGACTGACAGGACAGATGCAAACAGGTACCTAATCGCAAATTTGGTTAACGTGAAACAAACCTGGTAGCAATTTCTATCATTATACACCACTGACGTCATCAACTTTTTATACACGGTTCGTGGAACTGGTTTTACGTCGAAGCGGAAGAAAAAGAAGGAAAACAGGGCTGATAGATAACGAAAAGTGGTTTGAAAAATACAAAATACATACATACATGGTCACGTGGCGTTCGCGATAAAAATCGTTTTAAAGAACTTCATCGTTATGTAACTTTATTATCGCTAAAAGTTCTCGAACTTGCAGTCCAACCGGACATTCACAAACCGTAAAATATCGCATTCGCCCTAGCAGTCAAAAAATTTCATTATCTGGTCACACGAGTGCCATTTACGTTAATAAATGTCAAATTTACAATTCCAAGATAACTCTCTAATTATATCATATGTTCGGATATTTATTAAAATTTATTGAGTTTTCATACTTATGATGGAAAAATAGCACTCAAGGTTAGAGAGAATGATAAATTATGCAGGTGCATGACTAATCTGGGAAGAAATTGTTCTGTAAGGAAAATATCCAATGGCTTTTGAGTCAGCTGAATATAATAATTGGAATGCGCTAAAATTGTGATTCTTCAGCGCCACGATCGACAATCGTGGTCGATGCGGAGGAACATTCGACGTATTACAGGCATATTAAATTAATACTGTGTTGAATTAAATCGGATATTCCTAAATTTTTTTGATAGATGTATAAAATGGTATCATTTCCATGATTTATAATATCTTTTACAAAACTCAACTTATGATTTCAATTAAACCTCTCAGAAACCAAACTGACTTTTTATTGAATTCTCAATTACGTATGATTAATATTCAATTCTCAAAGAATAACTGACTTGTTTTTATAAGTTCGTTCATTGCATGAAAATGGCACAAGTAATGGTAAATTCTAAAAAGTAATATTTATAATATCATTATTTTTCTGTTTTTCAATTTATGATGTTAATCAATATGGATTCTAAACGGCTCATTGTAATAGTTAATGTAATGTAAATTATAATCAATTAATCAAAAAGGCTATAATATTTTTTTAATTAAATGCATTAAATAAATTTTTGGTTATTATTATTATTTGATTATTATTTTCTACAAAATGGTTGCAATCATTCTTTTGTAAAAGGCTCACATATCTAAACGTTTTAACATTTGAGAGAAAAAATTTATTATGTAAATTTTATCGGGGAAAATTTTTAAGTCAATAAAATTTCTTTTATCTTCCTGTTAATTGAATAAATCGTTGATAAATTATTTGCAATGAAACGACTAATATCTCATTAACAAAATTGTAATCATAAAAAGTTTTCATAGTATCTTCCTTTTATCTCGATTAACAGGAATAATCATTCTTTATTAAGTATGCGTTGCCTTTGAAAAAGCTTCTAGTTTTTTTTGTTAGCAAATTAATGTGATGGTAAAAAGCTTTCATAGTATATATTTCCTTCCTATCGCGATGAACATGAATAACTTTTCTTCTTTTTCTCCACTCATATCAAATGTTCCATTGCAACTGTTAAACATATTGCAAGCACCGAACAAGTTGTTCGAAGAAAAAACGCACGTCCAGACATGACTAATAGACCTGGCCGAGTCGCGTATGTTGCCCCCATAAAAAAACTACGCAACCTTTATCGTGACTCATCGTATTTAATTGTCTTATCTTGTCTCTGTTGACCTGTGGCCAAGTAACAAACACACGTTTTCAAGAACAAACCGACAAGGTGAAATTTCCCTCTTATAATCATTTGTCTTTTTCTATAATGGAACATGAGATCAAACACGCTTATACTGCGTTCCATGATGCTCTATCTGAAATCCTGTAAAAGTCTTTCTATTTGGTATTTAAAGTACTTAATTTCAAGGTTCACAGTGACAAGAAGATACGTATCTACTTAAATTAATGGATGAATCAAAGATTTTCATTTTACTTTTAGAAAATCAACTTGTTAGAAAGCAGTGAGAAACGAGAAATATGTAAAAATTACGTGATTGCAATATTAATTTATATATAAAGTATGATTTAGTATATATGAAATATAATTTCTAAATTATTATTTTGTAAGATATAAAAATATTACTTATTTATAGTGATAGATAAGATTTAAAATAAATTAATAGAATAATAATTAATTTAAATTAGATTAAATAAATTCTTTAAAGAAACCAACACATATTGAAAGAGCAAAAACTTCTATAATTTAAAAAGAAATAATTTATCATAGTGTCATAAAATATTTCAATTTCTTCAAATCTTATAAATTTTTGAGAGTCTTTTTCATAGTCACAATATGAATCAAATAAAAATCAACAATATGAAATAACTAAAAGGAGAACCAGAAATAAGTTGTTTCTCTAATGGATTAAGTACCAATACTGCACTTCTCAGCTACTACTTATACCTGTTCCAGATGTTTGAAGTCAAGAATCTTTTAAACAATGACCTATAACCTTTGTTCCCTATATACTTAAACGACGCTAAAAAAACGTGAAAGAACAAACCTGGGACGGAGGAACAATGCGTCGATTTCTCCAATGTTTCTTAGAAAGATAGTTGATTGGTAAGTTCGTGGAATCGCGGAGATATCTTAAAATCTTTTACGAGCCATTCGTGCCAAATTTTCAATTTGCATGATTCGAGAATCAACAAAGGATTTGCTATCTGATTAAATATGTTTACTCCAAGATACGAACGGGATTTTCGAAAGTGATATGAAATTTCAGAATAGAACTAAATTTTAAAGAGAGGCGCTGACGTCGTTAATTCGTCCAGAATCGATCTTCAAATTTATTACGAATTTTTTGATTTCAGCACGATTTTTGAAAATAATAAGTTAGGAGACATTGACGCGATAATTTACCGATAATAATCATTTGTCGAAGAAATTTGACTTGACGATATTGGATAAGTATTATCTCGATGGGTACAATAGTTTGACGTTACTATCGATTGTAACAAACAAGTAACACAGCATCGAATGCTATCGATATCCGATCATACCGACAGATCATAGAGCATCATTATAAATTCTAACTTCTTCATTTTTCCTTCAATTCAAGTTTCATTTATCTAACAATTTCAATTATTTGACTATCATGATATTAATGACAAATCCAAAAAGATTATTTTGGATCAAAAAGATAAGTGATAAGACCGATAAAAAAATGCTGGTAATTTATTGTCGCTTTTAAAACGATTTTTATCCAAAAATTTTATCCTTAACGAAATTTGTTTTTTTTTTTTTTTGTTAATCTAGAGTATGAAGATAGTTTAAAACTAACCTTGGTTGACCAATGATATCTTTATCAAACCGTTAATTATACGTTAAACGAAACAACGCGGGTTCTTCGAAGGCTTAATAAATTCACTTGACTCTTTTGCCGAACTTCCACTTGTATACGATCAATTATAGTTCTCTACAAATCCTGTTCTAAATATATATCAATACTTAAACTTTTGGCTTCGAAAACGTTACAGAAGTCACGCGTCACTTGAAATATACTGACTAGTTTAATACAAGTTAAAATAAAATTTTGCTACACATGATGGATAAAAAGTAAATGGAACAATGCAACAGGTATTTGGAGTACTACACATGTTCTACACTATGAATACATGTATCATGAGTATAGATATAGTAAAATATAATAGTAATCATTGACCAATCAAAATTATAAAACTTTTAAAACAACTATTTGCTGTATATATTATATGAGGTAGTAGAAGATTAACTTATAAGAACATATAAAAAACATTATCCATATAGAAATGTCGTAATTTCCAACTGAAATTACTTCGTTTTGCAACATAATCATCTTAAGAATGTTGTGAGCACAGATTGCCATAAATCGCACGCGAAAGCCCATCATGTGACAACTAAAAGCCGCGTACCTGATTTATGAGAAATATAATTACGATACAATTTTGAAGACCATCTGCAGCAATCCGTGTTTCACCTAATAAAAGCACGAGATGTTCGCGATTTCGTTTCAGTGATTCATGTTCCAGATGTCAATGACATAAAGCGCGCCTCCTGCTTTGTAAGTATTTTTAACTAAACTAAACAAATAAGAGCAATTTTGTACTTTCCCTTCGCTTGTAGTTAAACAAAAAAGAAGAAATCTCACACATAAAATAGCATTGATGATGAAAGATAAATTTTAATGCATTTTATGCGTACACCATTTGCATCTATTCAAAATCATGTGACAACTAAAAGCGTTCTTCATATGTAAAAGATGAAAGAAAAGTTAACTCTAGAATAAATATTTGTATTCTCTGCTCATTTTCGAATTATTTCGAAAGAAAAGGTAGATCTTTGTTACTTATCTGTTAATTTAACACGCAATAAGTGTTACTTATTGACAAATTTAGAATTTAGAATTGGTAGCGGTTGTTATATTCATACCCAACCAACCTATGAAATTCTATGACTTATTTTATGGTTAAGTGCAGTCAGTAGTCCGATGCATACCAGAATCGCGTCCAGATTTAATATCGAAAAATTAAATTAAACTTACGTTCCAGCTGATCAGCCTGTCACAAATGTCACACAGCGTTCATCCACGAAATTTATCACATCACAGTCGCGATCACACAAGAAGCGCCAACGATCGGAAACAAAGACGTCCTCTTTCGAAACTATGGGTTCGCGCGGTTCGATGCGTTTAAAGCGATTTCACGGGACTTTTACTTTTATTTATCACGGACGAGAGTGTATATACATGAGACTCTGGACTATCGGCTCGTGCACCTGGATGACACCTGGAAAACTTGTTCCTCTGAAGAAAGCCACGATCGATCTTTCAGGGTGCCTTTTGTGTCCGTCCTGAACATAAAACTTATGTGGAACTTCTGTGCACACGCCACGGTGTAACACACGAAACTGCCGGCTTAAAGGAACTCTCTGTGCCGTAGAAAGAAGGTGGTGGAGGAACAGAGGAAGACGTCTGTAAACACAACAGAGATGGAGAAACAGCCCATTCCCTCCGTGTGTTCCGCATGGTCGTATTTGTGTGTATCTGAGTGTGTGCCGATGCGTACGTATACATACGAACGTATATTTATGTGTGTGTATGTTCGAGCATTCGACTGACGATGTACAAAACGTCAGTGCATGAGTAAACACGAAATTTTGGAGGGAAATTGGTTAGATTGTAAAATCGAGGATTTGCCGCGTTAAACTAGAGGGCACTAGTGGGGTCACTTTTGGGCCTGTTTCGAAAGTGAGGTGGAGTTAGAAACGTCTCGAAAGAGTCTATATGAGCTTGTTTGTATGTTACGTGCGTTCGAGGTTATGTATATAGGCTATCATGATTGTAGAGTCCTCTTAAGACTGTTCACTATCGTGGTCTAGTCACGTTTTAAAGTCGAACTCTAAAAATCATTATTTGATAAAGTTTTGTCGAAATATTTTATCAAGATTATCGTTGGTACGCATACAATTTTATCTCTAATATTTTTAGATTAATTTTATATTAAAATTATAATTATTAATTTCGTTGCGACTAGAAAGAAAGCAAGATATTCATGGTTTCATAAAATGGACAATTATTGCATGGATCGTTGGTCTCGGTGATTTTTACAATTGGTTTGAATTATTATTATTGGGTTCAAATCGCTGATCAATATCTAGCGTTTAAAAAAGAGAAGAGAGACATAAACTTCACATAGTATTGTAATATAGAAGGGAAGTGTTTCATGGAGTAATTTAAATGAATGGAAAGGCGCGCGCGCATTTCCTTTCGTCTCGAATAAAACGTTATTCCCTAACGACCTAAGTGCACTTCCTGTATAATTAAGTGTACTCAACTTTGTTACGCTTCCGCGAATTCGTTGAACTCGGCGAATTCAATACTAGATAAATTGCTGCATCGAAATTAATCGCAAACACAAACACAGCAGAACGAGTTGTAAACGAAAAATATTAAAAAAAGGACTAACTCGTTTCTAATTGCAGGGAACATCAACAAGAATGACTTTAGCTGAGAAGCACGTGCAACCGAAGCAATTACAAGGTGCTATTTTAAGCTGCAGGCGTCTGCACAGTTGGTGTCTAATTACAATTAAACGAGATCAAGCTTAGTATGAGAGTTACAAGGGTTTGCTACCCTTAAATGATGACTGCAGCGGTGATCGACCGGAAAACTTTACATTAGGAAGCCAAAATGTGCGTCGCCCTTTCACGCTATAATTTACTTATAGCTTACTCTTCCGTGTCTATATACATTTATCTGGGTATAGGATGTATTTTTATAATAATTTGAATATTGCTATACATTGTATTTGTTTGGCAATAAAATTGTATTGTATAAAGGTCGCAGGGAAACAGATTTTCACTTTTTACAGAAAGTAAAATTTAAATTTTGACTGTGTTATCAATCAATTCACAAGACTTGTTTTTTTATTTGCTTTTAGGGTTAAATCTTTTTCTGGAGTTTTGAATATTACAAAAATACTGAGCATTAGAAAGTTGGATTTACAGTATTATAAAACTTTTATTATATATTTATATAATTGTACATCGAGATCGGAATATCAACAAAAATGGGCTTATCATATTTTTCCTGAGATCTTCGTACAATAATAAAAATGGAATAGCTTATAACATATAGAGATATAATATTAATTTTAAAAAACTAGGATTTAATAATCTGTATAAAACTTAAGTTACATTTATATTAGTAAGAGGAGTCATGTAACTGATTTATTTAAATGTTTACAGGAAGTACCAATTAAGGATTAATGGTCAATCAAATCTCTGTTAGATGCCAATTATATTTTTAAATAATTATTTATAAAGAATGTGTGACTAGCGCCGCGACCCTTCGCGCTAAACCGGTATTAAGGCTGCACGCGTGCAAGTATCGTCTGCACTCGGCTTAATGTCAGCCAAGCAAGTTGGCACGAAGTACGATAAATGCCACTTTCGCCCTGGAATAACCTATAGCTCTTGGGTATCCCCTACTTTGCAATGATAATTCGCACCTTTGAATGATAAATCTTATCTTTTATTCTGGATTGTTTTTGAGGAGATACATCTTCTTTGCATGCAAATATTTTTTTCATCAGTTAATTACATTAAAGACAATTGTCTTGTCAAGTTGTACACATTATTTTGTTTGCTAATAATCAGAGAAATAATTATGTTTTTAGCATAATAATTTTAAAAACTGCTTGTATTTACTTATTTACATCGTAATTTATTTATATATTAAAATCTAACATTACAAGTTGCTTACTTGTGAGAATTGAACAACTAATGTCTTGCTCGTTTGAAATTGTCAATGACTCTCAAGCCCGAAGGTACGCAGGTAAAAAGTACTTTCCAGATACGCAGCTTTCCATCATTAATCTCGTGACAAGCGTGACCATCAGGAATTCCGCGATGCGACAAAATAATATCAATATCCGCGTTTCTCTACTTTCCTCAGCAACTTACACGATAATATTTTCAGAACAATTTAAACTAGATCTTGTGGCATGCTCAAAATTGATTAGTGTTACACCGATGAATCATACTTGTCTGCAGACAGCATCATAGTTCCCGTTGTAGCGAATCTAAGAACAGAATAATTATCATTCCACGTGTGTTTCACCTGGTCTTACGATACATACCGCTATGCTAGTTTTGTAACCGTTATCCAGTGTTCGAAATACGATCTATGATCGACACAGTTATTAATCACACTCTGCGTGAAAAAGAGGAAAGAATAGTTCTAACGTTTTCCATCTTTCTCTGATTTTTCTTTTTTTTTATTTGAAGGTTGTGAGGCACGAGGTAACGAGCTGAGTAGACGAACGACGATTCAGAGCCGATGGCACAATAAAATCTTCGAAAAAATTCACAAGCTACGTGCCCAAGGATGAAGCTGCCCGATGCAAAAATACCAGCGAAGAAACGAGGGTTGCTGCAGCCGCGAGAATTTTTCGAGAGCGGTTTCTTCTTTTTCTGTTTCTTCCTCTTCTTCGTGGGTAGCCCACCACGGAAAACAAGCCGCAATAAAATTTACAGCGTGGCCCCACTGATTCTCGTATATTTATAGCCGATCATTTCCACTGCGATCCTCTCGTAATTTTCAAGTCGAACGACCCTACGCATCCACGATTCCTCTTTTGCTTTTTTCTCGCCTTTACTCGTCAGAAAGCTGATGCTTACAATTAGAGAATCCAAGGAACCACAAATATCGTACTGCTTCCAGAAAACATGTTGCATCTATTTAAAATCAGGTAAAGTCCACTAAGGTAAGCCCTTAATATGACCCTTGTTTTTAAAAGCAATATAATTTTTGACCAAGCATTTTTCTTAAACTTTTTATATACATTTTAAAACTATGATATCTCTTTCTTTACAATCTATTGGAAAATAAAGTAAAAGAAATCAGTATCATCATATTAAATTAAACTAAAAATTATGCAAATTAGGAAAACAGATTCCTAATATGAAACCGTTATTTTTTTCAATATTTTACAACGTATAACCAACTAAATATACCAACGTATAACCAGTAAATCTTAGACTCTCACTCTCTGCACTGTATAATAATATTTCAGAAAATAATTAAACATTTATTATGTTGAAGAGATTTATAATTGAGTAAGAATCCAAAAACTTTTTATGACGTATAGAAGATATTTTAAACAACACAAATAGCTGAATATAATACTGTAAAATGAAAAATGCACTTTTATCGCACTTTCATCGTAGATGAACATTTCTCAAATGTATGACTTTCGCATTGCGATCAACGCGTTAAATTCTATATTTGACATATAACGTTATTAAGGATGCAAGACGCGAAAGAGACAATTCTGTGTGGTCAACGTTTATCGTCAAAAAAATCGTAGAACGTTCTCCTCTCACTTCATATTTCATAGGGCTCAAGGTCTCGGTCAAATATGAATCTTTCAGTAATCGAAGTTACTTAAATATTTGAGCGACTTATGTCGTTTTGCATTTATAGCGGCTGTCAATACGTTCGACTGGGCTAGTTTATTTCCATGATACAATTTGCATCAGAAGCAGTCTACTGGCCCAACGTGTGTCAAGTTCATTCTGACGTAATATCGAGACCCACGTGGACGATGACCGCGGACAGAAACGAAAGAGAACCACGATGCGTTTCAACAACGACGTGTTAGATACCGGGTTCGATCGGTGTCCACTGAACGTTCGCTATAGGAAAAACCACCACCCAGCCGCGAAACCATCCCTGCTAAGTGTCAGTAGCGTGTCGTCTGTTGTTCCCATTACACGAGTTTCCGTTTATCCCTAGAACGTTTATATTAATCGACAAATACCTGTGTTAAATTTTTAAAGATTACTGGAAACTGGACTTAAGATTTGAAGTGATAAGAAGGTTCAAAAAAGACTGAACAGCAGAAGGAGAAATCGGTGAAGAAGTTTGGATGATGGGATAGTTTTGAACAATCCATGAAATTTCGAATGTAAGTGAAAGTGACTATTGAATTGGGAAGGATTTAAATATAATACATAGTATAGTAAAGTATGGAACTCATGTTGTGGAACTTATATAAGTTTATGATACATTTTTGATATTATAGAATTTCACTTTTGGATATTTGAATATTCTTCGTGGAGTTGTTGAAGCATAAAGCGTGAATTTTTTGAAATTTGAAATATTTTACTATACATTATAGGAAATATAACAAATGAAAGTTCTGCTAATTTGTTTAATACGTTTTCATTTTAAGGAAATATAAGTAAATCAAAATTGAGCGAAAGAATTCTTCTAATTATTGTACAGAATTGTTTGATAGATTAAAATCAAAGAATATTAATCAACAGCATTATCGTTTGCACCATAATCATTAAACTTTATATACATTACCGTGATATACATTGCATTCTTTATAAAAATTATAACATTCGCCCTTTGGCCGATTTCATTCGGGTGTTTATGGCTTTCACTTTCAAAATTGCGGTAAACCATCACGTCTACGTTAATTGTTCTAAAAAGAAAAGGTGCAAAATGAAAGGTGTAAAACAAACCGAGCGGAACGAAGTCACGAAACAGCCGGATCTCATGATCTACATAATTTTTTTCAAACTTCTTAACCCAGACAGAAACAAGTAACGCACATTGATCGATACCATCGTACTTTGCACTTTCATTTCGTTTCATTTTATTTATTATATAATATTCCCGTGAAAACGAATATTTCGAAAAAAATGTAAATTTATGTTTAATTCACAAACACGATTCGCTTATCGATGACAGATGACTGGAGGATTTCTACAGCAGAATTGCAATTAGCAGCGAAACTTTCGCTTCAATTGCAGCAACGTGTGTAATTACTATCGCATATGTAAGCGAATACGGGTAATTAACCAGTTCGTTGTTGTATAAATTTTCGTTGCTCTCGTCGGACATAGTTGAATTCGTTCGAAATGGCTTTCCCTATTGTGAATTGCGGAAAATGCAGCATTTCACTTCTTGATCCACCTTCGAATGGGTCCGATTGTTCTTGTTGACTCGTGATATCTCGTGAGAACGACACCGATCGCACGACTAAAGATTAATTTAAATGAAATTACCTACTGTTTGGTCTGAATCTACGTGGAGATTAATTTCTCTTTCTCAATTTATATTTATATTTTATTAATTCTATTATTATTAATTTTGACAATTCTGCTAATCTTTTCAGTGTTTAGTTTATACTAGAATATTGTACAAATAATCCGAAAAGGATAACATATTATATAAATTATATATTATATAATGCAATATTTATATTGTATTATATATAATAAATAGGTATTACATAAAAGTTACATGATTAAAATATTATAAAAATTTAATAAATATTAAATTTTATTATATATAATAAAAATGTATTACATCAAAAGTTACATGATTACACATGAATGCATTGTTTTATTTATTAAATCTCTATTTACTTATAAATTTTTCGTAATTTTAATTTCAAAGGGTTAACACGTTGATTACTACGATGGATTGGCATTTTTATTCCTATAGATATTTTGGAATCATTAAAATAAGACGTTGTAACAAAAAATATTAAATATACAAATAAATAGATAATATCATAAAATACAAGACGTGCCTACATTGCACATAATATTTCATAAAAACGTACAAATTCCATGTGGTAATCAACGAGTTAGTGATTAGTTTATATTTTTATTATATTTATCAAGCTACTGTGTATATTTTAAAAAAGGTTGACGAATGGTGCTTGTGAAAAATCCATCGCCTTCCCGAGGCGAGAATGCGAAGAAGGATAATAAGAGGAGAAGTCGCGCATCGCGCGGCAATAGCCCGGCGGATCAGGCCACTTCCAGGGGAAATAGTCCAGGAAAAAGCAATAATTCCGGTGTTAAAGTTGTCACAAAAAGTAGCCTCCAACAGTCTCGTGGAAGCGAGTGAGTATTTGTTCATGTTTTGATCTGATATTTTTATTTTATCGTTATTTCTTATCGTTATTAGATCAGCTCTAATCGATTGCTTCGTGATGACGAATGTTATTAATAGTTTAGTTCTTTCCTCTTGTCACACTTTCCTATTGTTATGTATTAATAATTATACTCTTATTTTATCATTATTAAGCGATTTTAATTCTAATTCTCTAATAATATTCCAATTCTAATTTATTATATTATAACATTGGAATCTTTGCTTATAATTTACTAATTTACTAATTATTACTGAGCAATTACTCCTTGAAGATCATATAATTAAAAAAAGGATATTAATGGTTTTTAGTACAGAGTATAGGTTGTTCTTTTTGTCACATTTACAGTACTATCGTGTATTTTTTGTACATCATTATATGTATGTCATTATGAAATTTATGAGACTTTGTGATTATATCATCTTATTAAGGAAAAATATTAACGATTCCAAAAAAAAAAAATAGCTAATTTCTTTCTTCATATCGCACATTATTTAGAAATGATTTCCCAAGTAAAAGTAGATAAGTAATTTTTATACCTTCGACCAATGAAACTCTCTCGCGTAACCCGTTATTAACATTATCTGGAAGCATCAACGCTTCTACAGCAATTTTATGTAAGTGGATAGTGTAAGCAAACGTTTACATAGAAACTATCGATCTAGTTGAATGTTTCCACGAGGAACTAACCGGCCATACCAAGCAATCGACGAGGAAATTATTTTCATTCTCTTTTTTTCTCTTTTTGCACTTTACATCGATGTTCCTTAATGATTTTATTGTTGATCAATTAATAACCACCAGTGTATTTCAGTTTAATTAATTATTACACAATGGTACAATCAAGTACGGTTGTGTAATAATTCTGCGTGAAGAATTTTCTCATTTTTATTTTATTTGTTTTCAAGAAAGAAATCATATAAAAAAAATTCATATGGATTAAAAAATTTTTTGAAGTTAGCATTTTAAGAATTATCTTTTTCCTAATTGTACCATGATAATTGAAACACGATTTTCAAGACAACATTCATAAGTATTAAATATTAAAATGTTAAAAAACAAGTTCTTCTGATTTACTCGAATGATAAAAACAATGATAAGAAAACAGAAACTTAAAACAAGTCGCGCGAGAAACTAGAAAAGTCACAAGTAGACTATGGAGTTTTATGTATTTATGAGAAATTTAAAATTTCAAAAAGACGAAATCCATATAGTGCAATACAAGAATATAGTTACTCATGAAAATATTTGAATATTTAGTATGTAATATATATTCATGTGCGTGTTGTATAAAATATTTTGACATTTTATTAATACTGTAGTGAAAATCGATTATTGTGACTATATCAAGCCTAAAATAAATCAAGGATATGTTTCGTATATTTCGAAAGTATTATATTAATAAGCCTTAATATTCAACCGAACTATTTTCTTATTATTTTATTATTTTACTTATTTTATTATAATACAGCTTTCCTATTTTATTATTCTACAAATACTTATAAATTTGTATAAAATACCATTTTCCGAAGAAGAACTTCTACTTTCATATCTACGAGAAATTATTCCACAAGTAAAATTTATTGCTTTGTGCAAAGGTGCAAAGAGGAATTAATTGTGTGCTTACAGAAATTTTCATTTCATTTTATAACAGTCCACAATCTAATTGTAAAAACCGTGAATAATTTTTACTCGAAACGAAAAGGAAAACGAGGGAGAAAAACTATTGACCGATGGAAAACTACCAGCAAGAAATTATCGCGAGTGATGCTCGACGATCGCTCGACGATCGCTCGACGACATTGGAATACAGAATTGACTCCCAATCGAGTGGAAAGTTGTCGAGAATTAAATTGACCTACGCGTCGAATGACTTCAGAGGGAAAACTCGTAAATAAATTGTCAAGTAAATTCTGACAATAGGACTAGTGACTCGAATCGTTTCTTGGTAAATCGTCTTCGAGATCCAGGCCAAAGATAGATCGATGTGACGCGTCGAAGAAATTTCCAACACGTTCGGTTTAATTTTCCTGCTCGTGTAAACTCTCCTTAATTGTTTCGCGTGGCTATAACGTACCAACGGACATTGATAGACGCATACGTCGCAATTGCGACACATTTCGATGCCGTGTATCGATTGCGAGACCTTGCTTGACTGTCTCTTTCTGACGGTCAATATCGCGACGATCGCGAAACATGCTTTCATGGAAAGAGATCTCGGTGGTCAGACACGTAAAACGGGCATTTTTCCTGAGAGAGGGTGGTTAGTCTGCTATTTTACGAAAAATTGATAATAATAACGCAGAGGGATCGAACAAAGCAGGAGAAAGCAGTTTTACATTTTTAGTTCTTTTTATTTTTATTTAATTTTATTTTTATTTGTAAAATAAAATTAAATTTATTTTTATATAATCTCTTTGGCCCCTTTTTATATAATCCTCTGTGGTCACAGAAGACTGAGTACCTTAATTTTATAAGGTATAAAATAAAATCAAAAATTAAGAATAGGCATATTCCATAAAATTTGATAATTTTTCATTATCTCAAAGACACTAATATAAGACATTGCATATTTATGAAGTGATATTATATCAGCGAAAAAAATTTTGGCATTTAACATGAAAATATTAATACTGCATATTCCTTGTTCGAATAAAAATTACGAGATGGGGCATAATAGATATAAAAAATAACAATTTGAACGAATCATTTCCACTAATTTATTATTTTTATTTTGGAAATAATATAGAAAAAGTAACTTTATCTTGTGTCCAAATCAAATAAATCTTTTGTTGTCACGCATAGTGCATTACAATATAATATTATCAAACAATTTTATTAACAATCGATACAAATCAGATCGTAAATTGAAGTGCAATCGCGTAAATTTTCTGCCATCATTGGCTGATTTATAAATAATAAAAAAATTGAAAGTTTCTCTATTCCGAAAATTACGTTACGGTTAGTACAACACTTCAATCAATACTCATTCACGAGATTAAAGAAAAAAATCGCGTGATCAAAGGAGTAAAGCGCATGAAACACTAAATAATGAAATAATAAAAGTGCGTTAACAAATAGGATGAATCGAAAGTACTTCTGCCGGCAACTTTCATTGCCATTTTTTCACGAGGCTCGTTAAAATGTTTCAAACGCGAAACACAGTAATTTGAAGAAGCATATCGATCTTGGCAGATCAATGTCACATGTGAACGTTCGAGTGCTGGATTCTATATATCATGCTTTTAACGTAATTGTAATTTCCGAATGTATATCAGTAGTTACTTCTTCCTATGTCTTCGAATTGTTTGACGTCATGTATGTTACTATAGTACGCAATAAATGTCGTCGTTGCAATTGACACGAAATGAAAGCTGTGTATTGGAATTCTCAAGGAATTATGAAATAATACGATGCTATAGCAAAATGGGTGAGCAAGAAGTTGTTCCTCCCCATAGTACATCAACCGTCAATGACCTTCTCTATGTGAAAAATTTCAGCGAGATATACGTGCCTTGTGCAATAAGTATCAATTAGACGAACGCGAAATTAATATCAGGTATAATTTGAAGTTTAAAGCTTTCGCGATCATGTTATCAGCACCGATGTTGGTAGAAAGATATTACGTTTCTAATTTAAAACATTGCAGTAATTGATATTTAAAATGATTTTTGAAACTGTTGAATTTTACAATAACATTTACGGAAGTTTAGAATGATCTATGAAAGTCGCAAATCTTTGTGTACTTTGAAATCTTTGAAAATTCCAAATTTTTACAGTTGGTATGATCTTTGAAAACTTCTTAATTTGAAAGATTAAAATAACATTCGAAAGCTGCAAATAAATAAACTAGGATATCTATGAACTATGGATATTGGAAGTTGCAACAATCTTGTAAATCGTCAAAGTCCGAAGAAATTAAATTTCTTTTACAAGGGTCCTAAAAATTATCTCGTACTCGATGGAGGAAAAATTTTAACCTTGATATTCGTTCAATGTTAAATCGATAGGGAATAATATTCGAGATAGAGTACACTAATTTTTCTCTGGAAACTCATTCAACGACCACTTAGGATTAATAAAGAGCAATATATCATCATCGTGCATTATTCCACGTAAGTACGATGAACAACAGTCGAAAAGTATTGTTTATCCAGGCAATCAATCGAGTCCATCGAGTTCAGTAATCAAGCCATCGTGAATCATTGATTGAGGTCGAAACGATTTTTCAATACTGTGATTAGCTCCGTGGTGCAGAAGGAAGAAAGACGAAATCATAAACGAGCCTGGTCAATCACGCGATTTTTCCCTGACAGTTTCAGTTAGCCCCGATTGATTGAACTTCCTCAATTATTTAGCCACCGTGATAGGAGGTCAATCATGAAGCTGCTAGATACGTAGGTTACTCTTGTTAAAACGCTCAACCATGATAAAGAACGATGTTACGCGTGCACAAGTAACTAATAGCCTCTTTAATCGTTACTCGTCTAATAATTGTTTTAATTTTAGGACTGGTAGCATCGAAAGATTGGTAGACGGTGATAAAAGGGTGATCGCCACCAAGCATTTGCTTCCAGAGAATAACATAAATGTTGTCGTCAGGTAAATGAAACTACATATATGTAAGCCGCCAAACAGATTAACTTCGAACAAGAAATAGAAAAAGAACATTAATTAAGATTATTACTCAAAGACTATGGCAATAATTTTCGTTGTGAATCATTCGTTTTACAGAGTTCGTCCACTTAGTAGAAAGGAAATTAAAGCCGGCGACGATATGGCCGTGCAATTTCCCGGAGACGGACAGATATATGTAAGTCTGCTTCCTTGTCTAATACGAATTAATTTAACCCTTTGATAGGAAATTGTCAAGAGATCAAAGAATATACACATCAACAAATCAATAATATACTTTTCTTTGTAGATTTTTGGTATATTTATATTTAAACCTTCAATAATTTTCAATTTTTCGTACAATCTTCAAACGAACTATTAAACTCTCAAGAGATTCAAGTAAAATTCAAATAATTATTCGTCGAAGTACCATTTTCGTACTCCAACCTTCTCACGTTTAATTAAAAAAGTAAATGAAATCGTCTTAAATCACCGTTGACTTTTATCGTTGAACCTTGCACAGTGCGAAGGATTTCCAAGCAGCGTGGAGAAGAAGGGTAAATTATTTTCGTATAACGTGGTATTCGAGCCCACAGCCACTCAGGAGGACATTTTACAATTCTCTGGCGTGAAGAAGCTCATTGAAATGGCAGTAGAAGGATTCAGTTGTACTGCGTTTTGTTATGGACAAACAGGAAGTGGGAAAACTCACACCCTCACGGGGCCTCCGGAAATGGTTAGTGAAGAAGCTTCTTTTGTTAACCTACTGCATGCTATTCATCGGTCTTACACTGGTTTCTTCGATAAAAACCGATGCTTCCAGAAATATTTACCAGGAAGTGTAACAATAGGCATTACGAATAATGCATCGAATTGAAGGCCATGTATGAATGTAACAGAAAGGTTAATGTTGTTCGACGTGCGTAGATAAGATAATGAGTATAGACAATGTTCGTTTATCCCTCAAATATATCATATAGCCACAAACAAACAAAACTGTAATAGCATTCGAATAATTAAAACGTGGCACTTTACACTAGTTTTGGCATTAGTATCTTTTTTTTTTTTAATTTTAATGGTACAAAAATTTTTATCCCACAAATTAATTTATAGTATATAATATTGTATATAAAAATTGAATTAGAAGATATAGTACTTTTTTTATTTAATGATAATTATTTAGATTTTGTTATTGTTATTACTGTTAATCAATGAAATTATATAAAAGCTTAATGATATATTTTTGATAAGAAGTTATAAAAACGAAATATTTATTATAAAATTACCAGGTCATCAATGAATTGTTTCTTTTTCCATTAGTTCGAAAGGATGAACCCTTACTCGGAGCAACACGGCCTGGTCTTCCGGTCTTTCGTCTATTTGTTTAAGTTATTGCAAGAACGACAAGAATGTAACTTCGTGTTGAAAGCCTCCTTCCTAGAGATCTATAACGAGAAGGTCAGTATACATCGCGTGGAATTAGAGAAAAACTTCGGGTCACCGTTTTACAGGGCAACCTTTTAACTTCGAACCGCAGGTAATAGATCTGTTAAATCCTGGCACGTCGAGGAAACCCTTAATGGTTCGGTGGAGCAAAAAGACACGAGGTTTCTTCGTTGAGAATCTTTTTACTGTCGAGTGCGAGGAACTCGATGATCTTCTGGCGGTTCTCGAAGAAGGTAGTTGTGTTATTGATCTTCATCTTTGACAAATGAATTTTAATCCCTTCTAGATTCAAAAAATATATCATAAGTGCAATTCTATATCTATAAATTATAAATGTATAAAAATCTATATAATTTATGCAACGCTAACAGCAAACAATTTTATTTGTAACTAATAATATAAATTTATATTTTAACTAATGTTATACATATTCTAATTATATTCAAATATGTATAGTTAATCTAAAATTATATAATCGACATATATATTTAATCTAAATCTTAAGTTAGAGAAAAATGAAATATTATAGAAATGTCATTATAAAAAGTATTATAGTTGATATTATTTTAAAAAATGTTGGGAAAATGTATCTAATAACGATGATTCTTCAGGGATGAGAAATAGAAAAGTTGGCTCGCACAACATGAACGACCATTCCAGTAGAAGTCACAGTATCCTCACCGTCAGTATCACATCTGAGCAGCAGGTGAGTATACTAATTATCACGTAAAGATACAAATTTATACAAATGTTAATATCGATAGATGGATAACAGCGTATTTATATCGAGGCAAGGGAAGATTAACTTCGTCGATCTGGCAGGAAGTGAAATGACGAAGAAAACGCAGAGCGAAGGGAAAACACTGGAGGAAGCGAATAATATCAACAAAAGTCTCATGGTTTTAGGTATTATTAAAAAGTTACAACTACAAAGTACAATGCAAATTAATCACTAAAGTATTAAAACGTTTAATCTTTCAAAGTCTGTTTCGAGTCAGAATCTCGTAAGAAATTCAATACCAAATTAATTGAACCGCGGTTAATATTACCACTTGGAAACTTCACGTTGTCAATTATGCACAAGGATCATAGGGATCGATTCCGAAAGGGCGCCAACTTTATTCGTAATATCAACTTCTGCAGAGAAGTTTCTCCAACTTCTTTTCAGATAGACACTTTTTACTTTGAAGGTTACTGCATAGCCTCTTTGAGTGATGGAAAACGCAAGGGTGGTCACATTCCGTATCGAGATAGCAAACTGACTAAGCTTCTGGCCGATAGTTTAGCAGGAAATGGTGTTTCATTAATGGTAAATCAAGTTATTTTAATTATTTTAATTAGAAAAACTTAATAATTATATACTCAATAAGTATAATTGAATGATTTTACTGAATCTTAGATCGCCTGTATTTCGCCAGCTAAATCGAATGCGAGCGAAACGTTGAATACTTTGAGATATGCGGCGAGAGTGAAGAAGATTCGAACGAAACCTATCGTAGTAATGGTGAGTGTTGGATGCTAGTTGTCAATTATATAAGAACATGGGATATAAATAAATAGAATACAATAAAATTTTATAGGATCCTCGAGATGCTCTAATTCTCAGCTTAAAACGAGAAGTTGTAGCTCTTCAGACGGAAAACGAACATCTGCGAGCGGCTCTTCATTTAAACGAAAATGCTTCGAGCGCAAATCGTAGTGAATCCAAAAGTAAATGTCAAATGTCAATTAATAAGAATGATTTAATTAAATCCAGAATTAAATACGAAAATTTTTATTAAAAATTTAGTAAGAAAAATTGAACAATTACATTTCATAAAATTATTCAGGTCGAAAACATACAGAAAAAAATATTTAAATAATGTTTCAACTTTTACGGTATAAATTGATCGAAAAGAATTGCAAATGAAATATTGCGTTAAAGTAACGTTAAAGAGAGATGTAAAATTTTGCTGCAAAATATTTTTAAGCATGTAATTCAATGAAGTAAATTTTTATAGCTGAAAGAAGAGTACCATTGACACCTCCAGTGGTAGATTTGGATAAACTATCCGAAATGGAACAGCCAGAATTAAGTCAACTTATTCACGCGTACATTACCGAGAATGAAGCTCTCCGTCGAGAAAATGCGGAACTATATGCTACGAGGGAGCAAGTGATACGGGATCAGGAACTTGTTTGCAGAGAGAACGAGAGATTGTTGAAGAAACTCGAGGATGTTAACTCGTAAGTACAAGCAAGATTTAAGACGATCTCGATATCCAATTAATCCGATAGGTTTTATTATTGCAGAGTGTGTTGTCGGTCACCAATCATACCTGCTAGACCAACCTATTCGGCAGAAATGCTGAACGATAACGAGGATACACCTGGCGCGACCAACGTTTGGACCAACCCTAACGTGGAACCTACACCTCTTTCGAGTGTATGTAGAAATATTTTGGTTGTAAAATACTAACGTATGCTGAACACGACAATATACAATGGATATAAAAGAGGGGTTTCAATTTGAAATATCCTGTAGAATATCTTTCTATTAGGCATTTTCACAGTTTGATATTAAATTATTATTTTATTACATACTATATTATTTTTTAAACTTTCTCCTGTTTATTACTGTATCTATTTAAATACAGTTTAGTACTTTATATGGCAAAATAATGTTTAAAAGATATATCAAATATTAAAATTTAAATTTGTAGGATATGATCAGGCGTGGATTATACAGATCTGCGAGTAGTATGCCAGAGAAGATCCAAAAGGAACTGGATAGACGTAGGATTGTGGGAAGTTATAATAACATAGCAGAAGCGTACAAAGACAAGAGTCATCATCGCCGACATAATTCATGGGACAATGGAAACGGGATGACGAGAATGAGTCCGGATCAGCCTATATCACCGATAGACGTTAATCAGTGAGTGGCATTCAACAAATCATCATAATAATGCTATATCTAATATAATATTCAAATCAGTAAATCTTAATCTTCTATTGAAACCAATTGCGATGCAAATTATAATTTCTTTAAATGAATTAAGAGACAATTATTCACATTGTAGACTAGAAGTTTTATTCTAAACTTGACCGCTTTAAATAACTGACCCATATTATGGAACCAAATTTATTTTATAGATATGACAAGTAAAATAACATAATGAAATTAAATATTTATATATCAATATGAATTAACATTAGTTTAATAGTGATTGGACTATGGATATGATGCATGTATAGACAATTAAAAGAATAAAAATTTGCTGAAAATATCCAAGTACCATTTGTTAAATTCCACTTATAAAAATATGAGTCTAATAATTACTTTCAGTAATCATAAAGTTAAAAAATTTAAAACGCGTCATTTTGACCAAACATTAATCAATATAGAACAATCCAAGCCGATTTCTAAAATTTTGGTTAAGTTTACCAAGGCTTTAGTCTACAATGTATTCTGATGTCTGATCTAATCAGAACCATTCTATCTATTAATTGGAGGAATGTATGATAACAGATACAAAAAGGCGAGCATACGTCGAACCTCAACAGTCCCTGAAGAACGAAGACCGTCGGAGACAAACGATCCTCTGGGCGAACCGGTTCAACCGACCGATCATTCATACAACGAATCCCCAGACTCGATTCTCAGCGGTCCTTTGGAGATAGTGAACTCAACGCCGGACACAGCTGAGTCAGACGCTCCAACAGCGCCATTTCCGGCGGTATCGCACATCTCGTCGCCGTTCGGTACCCCGGAATCTGAAGACCATATGACGAGGACACCAAGAAAACCGAAAGAGAAAGAGGATGTGACAGCTCAAAGAGCTTTTGGAAGTCCGATTCCTGACGACGAGGATAAACCACTTTGAACACTCGAACTAATAAGAACGATAGTCTGATGTATTTTCATTGTGATGACCCTTGTCTAGGTCAAGGGCATTGGATCGACTGTAAAGATGAAAAACTGAATTAGGAAGGGTGTTGTGAAAATTAGTTAGAAAAATAACAGAGAGGAAGAGAGGATTTGAATAGATGATTAAAAAAGATTATTTCGAATGGATGATTAAAGTTTGATAGGGAAAATATGCATTGATGCTAGATAGATTTAAAAGAGAGCAAGACGAGTTTTTTGAAATGGAAACACAGCAATATCGTATTTTCAAAATAACGAAAACGTGTAGTACGCGTAGTATTATTTCTATGTATAAAAGTATATAATTATGTGTGAGCTTAAACAACTTGAATACCTAAAAGTCAGTTTTTTTCGCGATTGGGAGAAAACGACTCAGGTTATCGATATTATTGAATTCTACCTCTGAATAGTATAAAATCAGGATTTTCTGTAATGGCAAAGGCATGGATCAAATTAAGTATAATAAAGTATTTGTTTTACGAGATTTTGTTTCTTATTACCTAACTATTCACTGAATATGGCAGTTTCGTTGGAACATACTGACTTATTTTGGAACTTGACTATTGAACGATCGTTCAAAATAATATGTTCAATAACAAAAAAATTGTTGTCGTCAGTGACTAAAAAGTAGAACGAACGTTAAGAAAACAATGTCTCATTCTCCAATAAGAAAAATCTATAGAACGACACGTGACCTAATATGTCCGTTATCGACGCGAACAAAGCGATTCTACAATTGCGTGCCAATAATTCACTAGTGATGCATATATATGTAATTTATTAGATAAGCATCATGCCACGTCAGATAAGCAAAAACATAAAATTAGCAGATTAGAGACGATAGTCGCCAACGATAATGCGTACACAGATGGCGTTTATTCGATTTCAGAATCAAATTATTTATTGGTCCGAGTCATTTCAACTGAAATTAGTGTACAACATTCCGGACCAATCAGCTTCGACTATCCGCTCGATCTACCCTCTCATTCGCTTGTTTCGCGCTCCAATCACCGAGTGCTATTCAAAAGCAAAATTCACGATGTAATGTTAACCAACGATGTCGCAACAAAAAAATAAAGAGGCGATAGCGAGCAAAAATTCATTGTGGAAATGATCAATCTGTGTTTCATCTTCGTCGTCTTCTGTCGCATGTCGTCATCAGAAATCGTCATCAAAAGTATTCGACACAGCAAAAAAGGGGACGGTTTTGTTTCACAGGGAAGGCGGTATCGCTGTTTTACCGACCGGGCAAATCTTCATCCTCACTTTATCGAGGAAGCATCGACATCACGATTGCTGGTGGTGCGACTGCGAGCAAGCAGTAACAGAGCGGATGAAAGAACGAGAATCATTGTTGGATGAACAGTGGTATCGTGGTAGAGTTCGGGCACAGTTTCGAAAGGATAAACTAGAAACTAGAGGAAGAACGAAGAACGGGAGAAGAGAGGCGCGGTGCGAGAGAGAGAGAGAGAGAGTGAGCGAGAGAGTGGGAGGGAGAGGGAGAGAAAGAGAGAGAGAGCGAGAGCGAGAGCGGGCGCGTGTGGCAAGGTCGGTGCGTGCGTGCGTGCGGTGAAGTTACGGGCTTTATTAAAGTGCAGTCGGCCGGGTTGAAAAACAATCGACGGACATAATACGGCGCCCCGTGAAGTCCGATGTCTAGTGCTGAGGTGGTGGAGAGCTCCGTTGACCCCCCAGCTAAGAAGCGACGCGTTGCTGCCACCACGGGAGGAGCCGACGATTCGACGACGATTGCAGACATGGCGAAAAACGGTTCGACGTCCCGAGCTTCCGCCGAAATCGACGAAGGTTTATACTCCAGGCAGCTTTATGTTCTCGGCCATGACGCCATGCGTCGCATGGCATCCTCCGACGTCTTAATATCCGGTCTCGGCGGACTCGGCGTCGAAATCGCCAAGAACGTCATCCTCGGCGGCGTTAAGTCTGTTACGTTGCACGATGACGCGCTGTGCCAGATTTCAGATCTTGGTTCGCAGTTCTATCTTACCGAAGCGGACATAGGTGAGCAGCCTTACCCGCGAAACATATGAATGCCCTCCCGCAGGAATAATTATTTCTCAATATTATTTTGGATCGGTTCAGCGTTTATTTGATTGGATTCGATCCATTGTTATGAGATCTTACCAATCGTCTCGTTCATCAAAGTGTTATAAAAATGTTTCTTTAAATAGATGTACGTTGTGCGTCGCGTGCGTTTTAGATGTAAATGCTAGAAACTGTATGGAAATTTTTATGACTAATGTATGTATCTATGCATATCTCTGTATAAATTGAATTTTTTTATCGTGTTAGAACCAAACTGTTAAGAGCCAAGTTTTACTCTTTAAACTTTTTTTTTTAATATTAGAAGATATGATTGTTGTCCAATTTGTACAAAACTGAAAAGTAAAGAACTTTTCTGTGGCGTATTTAAGTATTGTCTAATTAAACACGATACGGACACAATTAGAATGATAAAACTATATCGTTGTAATTTTATTTTTAGGTAAAAATCGTGCTGTTGCCTGCTGCCAACGCTTGTCTGAACTGAACAATTATGTCCCCACACGTCATTATTCAGGGCCTTTAACTGATTCTTATATCAAAAAGTTTAAGGTTGTGGTTTTGACTGAAACTTCATTGAAAGAACAATTACGAATTTCTGAGATTACTCACGTGAATGATATTGCGCTTATCATAGCAGACACCAGAGGCCTATTTTCTCAAGTCTTCTGCGACTTTGGAAAAAAGTTTACAGTGGTTGACATAAATGGTGAACCGCCTGTAAGTGCAATGGTTGCCAGTATTTCGCAAGATGCCGAAGGTGTTGTTACTTGTTTAGATGATACACGTCATGGTATGGAGGATGGTGACTATGTCACTTTTTCTGAAGTACAGGGTATGACAGAACTGAATGGTTGTGACCCGATAAAGATAAAAGTTCTTGGCCCATATACTTTCAGTATTGGGGATACATCTAAGTACTCTGAATATATTCGTGGTGGTATAGTAACACAAGTAAAGATGCCAAAGATCCTACAGTTTGCTTCTTTGAAAGATGCTTTAAAGACACCAAAGTTTCAAATTACTGATTTTGGAAAGTTTGATTATCCAGAACAATTGCATTTGGCTTTCACTGTATTGCATAGTTACATGGAAGAAAATGGAAAATTACCTAAGCCATGGAATCAAGAAGATGCAGATAAATTCTTAAATCTAGCTAAAACTGTAAAAGAGGAAGTGGGCAGTGAAATTGAAATAAATGCAGAACTGTTTGAAATATTTGCAAAAATATCCTCTGGAAATTTAAATCCAATGAATGCTACCATTGGAGGAATTGTAGCCCAAGAAGTGATGAAAGCTTGTTCTGGAAAGTTCCATCCTATATTCCAATGGTTGTACTTTGATGCTATTGAGTGCTTACCTGCAGATCGATCTGAACTTTCAGAAGAAGATTGCCACTCTATTGGGTCGCGTTATGATTCACAGATTGCCGTTTTCGGCCGCAAATTCCAATCGAAGATTGGGAGCTTGAAATACTTTGTAGTTGGAGCTGGAGCCATTGGATGTGAATTGCTCAAGAACTTTGCAATGTTAGGTGTTGGTGCTGAGAATGGTAGTGTGATAGTCACTGATATGGATTTGATAGAAAAATCTAACTTGAACAGACAATTCTTGTTTAGACCGTCTGACGTTCAACAGTCCAAATCATCAACAGCAGCTAGAGTCATAAAGAGTATGAATCCAGATATGAAGGTGATTGCCCATGAAAACAGAGTGTGCCCCGAAACAGAAAAGATATATAACGACGACTTTTTCGAGGTTTTAGACGGGGTTGCGAACGCGTTAGATAATGTGAACGCCCGTATTTATATGGATCGTCGTTGTGTATATTATAGAAAACCTCTCTTGGAATCTGGTACATTAGGTACAAAGGGCAATACTCAAGTTGTTGTTCCATTCTTAACCGAATCATACAGCTCGTCCCAAGATCCTCCAGAGAAGAGTATACCAATTTGTACACTAAAGAATTTTCCCAATGCTATAGAACATACTTTACAATGGGCCAGAGACAATTTCGAAGGTCTATTTCGTCAAGCTGCGGAGAACGCCGCCCAATATATATCTGATTCACAGTTTGTGGAGAGAACGTTAAAACTACCAGGAGTTCAGCCATTAGAAGTACTAGAATCCGTTAAGACAGCCTTGGTTGATGAAAGACCAAAAACATTTGCTGATTGCGTCGCATGGGCTCGTTGCCATTGGCAGGAACAGTATAGTAATCAGATCAGACAACTTCTATTCAACTTTCCTCCTGATCAAGTAACGTCTAGCGGTCAGCCATTTTGGTCTGGGCCAAAAAGATGTCCTGAACCACTTACATTTAATGTTAATGATCCACTACATTTAGATTATATTGTAGCTGCTGCTAATTTAAAGGCAAAAGTCTATGGTATTCCCATTAACAGAAATCGAGATGAAATCGCTAGGATTGTTAGCACTGTTGAAGTTCCGGACTTCACGCCGAAATCTGGAGTGAAAATTGCGGAGACGGATTCACAAGTACAGGTGTCCAATGGTAGTGGAAATATTGATCACGAAAGGCTCAGTCAATTACAAGAAGAATTACCAAGGGTTGAAGATCTCAACGGCTTGGTAATATATCCACAAGAATTCGAGAAAGATGACGATACCAACTTCCACATAGACTTCATCGTGGCAGCTTCAAATCTCCGTGCTACCAACTACAAAATTCCGCCAGCTGACAGACACAAGAGCAAACTAATTGCTGGTAAAATAATACCAGCTATCGCCACTACTACTTCGGTGGTGGCAGGTTTAGTTTGCCTCGAGCTTATTAAATTGACTCGTGGTGTAAAGGATTTGTCTGTTTACAAGAATGGTTTTGTCAACTTGGCTCTACCATTCTTTGGATTCTCGGAGCCTGTTGCTGCGCCAAAACTGAAATACTACGATACAGAATGGACGCTATGGGACCGATTCGAAGTAAAGGGAGAATTAACACTGAAAGACTTCTTGGATTACTTCAAAGAGCATCACAATCTGGAGGTCACCATGCTCTCTCAAGGTGTTTGCATGCTTTATTCGTTCTTTATGGCAAAACCCAAATGCCAGGAACGCATGGGCCTTTTGATGTCTGAAGTGGTAAAGAAGGTATCAAAGAAAAAATTGGAAAATCATGTACGTGCATTGGTATTTGAACTCTGCTGTAACGATACTGATGGCAATGATGTGGAAGTTCCATATGTTCGCTACACTTTGCCGTGAGATACGTTGATATCGCCAGGATAACGAGAGATGTCTACTTAACTGACTTAGCCGTAGTAATTTCCACAAATTTCTATTTTACAATACAACACAGGAGAATATTACTCTTACTGTACGTAAGATTCTTAAAGTTTAAAGAAAGAAAAAAAATTCGTTTTTATTGCCAATGCTTTGTAGCATTTATAATAGCAAAGGATCGTGATATCCATGGAGTTCATCTTACTATGATCTCTTTTTACTGAATATCGATTTCAGGGCTCGAACTATATGTTTTCGTTTTCATTCATCACCTCTTGTCATTTTTATCCGAAATGATTTAATAATAATTGTAAAATTGTAATTCTTATTTCTTGTCTGAACTATATCTTCAAGGAAAAAAACGATCTAGCTATAAGATAATTCGAACTATTGAGAAAAGAAATATATGAAGACGAAAATTTGTACAAGAGAACCTTATGTTGTTTATAAAATGATTGAAAGAAAGAAAAAACAGGAAAAAGCGAAAAAGTTGCAAAAAATTTAGTCCATATTGGATCATAAAAGGAATTGTCATGATAAGAACTTTCTTTAATAATCGTACATTTCACTTAATGAATAGGATCGCAATGTAAATTACTGGATGATAAACTCAATGATCCTTATACAAATAATGCTAATATATTTAATATAGATCACAATAAAAAAAAAAATTGAACGCAAATGTATCTTGCCTTTATGGTATTAATTTTCTATTTGCTATTACTATTTTTACAAGGGGCATGAAATTGGAGAAAATTATGTTTATTATTTTTAGTATGTTATAAATGTTCCCCCTTTTTTGTTATTGCTCTTAACACGTTCTTGCTATCGAATTCGATATTTTAAGACTTTATATAATCTATACGTTATTAATGATTTTTCATTTTGTCCGCTTTAAGTTTTTTAAACACCGAATACACTATTGGCTAAGGCTGTTTGTTGTTATAAGGAATACTGCATTTAAATTTGTAAGAACAAACGTTTGGAAGAAGCTTCAAAAAGAAAAGAATTGCACACTTTAGACCAAGGAATACAAGAAGAAAAAAAAGGAAGATATTTTGTTAATTTTAGGATAACGCGGATATTTATTGTATTATTTTATCAATAGATAATAAATAGATGTGTTTGGATTTCAAGAAACGTGAAAAAAATATAGTAATAAAAATAAAATGGTGTTTTTCTTTTCTCCTACATTTTCTTTTATCTTCCTGATGATTAATTAAAATTTGAGAAAACGTAAGTAATCATGTATATTTTACTAAATTGAATTTTGATTTTGTTTGTTACGAGCAAATATCTAAATTTTTATTTTTCAATTTTGTGTTCATAATTTTATAAGACATGGCTTAAGTATAGCTACATCAACGAGTGTTACTACACCACTATATTGGTTCAACTGACTTCAAATAAATATCTAACTAGATACGTAACTAGAATATGGTGCATCTTAAAACATCAATTTTATCGAAAACAAGCTCTAGAACGAAAAAATCTTTTTTTTCATCTTACGTTGACGTATGAATTAAATTTTTATCCAGTTAAATCATCAGTTGTTTTACACTAAATACATTATGCGGACCCTAGACGTGCAAAATTTGCGCGGGAACAGTACACTGAGATAACCATAAAAATCTATAAAATGGCACAACGTAGTATAACGTATGTAATTTAATGGAACAAGTTATTAATTATTTTTAATCTACTAATAACATTTTTCTTTTATTTGATAGATTATTTTTCTCAAAAGCAAGTCCGAAAGATAAAACTGAATCTAATGATGTAAGGTACGTGGATTATTTTATCGAAGTATGATTATTTCAGTGAAGTTTATTCGTATTGCATTCAGTTTAAGATCGAATTTATTTAATAATACTTATCCTGTGATATTTTTAAATAAACAATCTCAATTAAATAATGCTTTTTTTCCAATTGTAAACAATGTTGTTAATCGGATGTTCGCCAACAGCAAAATAGCAAAGAATGAAGAACAAAATAATCCAGGAAATACTAAGCGAAAAAGAGATAGTAGTGAAGATATCAAAGAAACCAGGTGATTAAATCATAATTTTTAAAAAAATTGCATTAATTAGTATTAAACTTAAAAATCTTGTAAATAATTATTAATACATTTGTAGTGACACTGACATAAAATGTTACCTATGTTACTAATGTAAGGTATTCACTATTTATCTAGTTCTCCATCTATCAGAAATTCTTCAAAAAAGAAATCAGTTTCAAAATCTCCTTCGTTGTTGGGAAAAACAAATGGTAAATTAAATATAGTTAAATAAATGTAATTTATATTTTGTATGTAATTCTTTTGATGTTGTACTTACATTTAAGGAACACGAAAACATAAGCTATCACCCATTACAACTGGAGAAAAGGAAAAGAGAAAAGCTGAAACTTCACTTAACGCTTCTAAAAAGAAGAAAAAACTTGATAAAACTAAAAATACTCCTAAAAAAAGGAGTGCAAAGAAGAAACTGAAAGATAAGTTAAATAATGAAGAGCAGAAAGAAAATGAGTTGACTGTAGAAAAGACAGATTCAAATCCTGAACTTGAAGCGTCAAAATCTTCACCTGAAATATCCAAAAGTAAAAAAGATATTAAAAATAATAAAAATAAGGTTGTAAAAAAAAGATTAAGAATAATAGCACCTGTTGACTCTAGTGACGAAGAAGAAACTATTCAAGTACGTATAAATTTTGTGTGTGTGTGCATGCAAGCGTGTATATGTAATTATTACATATATTAATAGTTAACAGAGAGTCCTAAAAAAGCAAATGTCGATGAGGGAGAAGAAAGTCCAGTTGATAGTGAACAAGAAATGTCTGATAAGGATCTTTCAGACAATAAAAAGAATAGTGAAGAAGAAAAGAAGAAAGAAAACAATATAGAAGAGCCTGTAAAAAAGATGCATAATTTTTTTGGTATGGAATGTCTATCAGTAAATAAATAAATAAATAACCATCCTAACATAATTTATATCTTTAGCTCCAAAGGAGAAAGAAGACATAAAGAATACTGATAAAGATAAGAAAAAGTCCTCCAGTCATTCTTATAATCCGAGTGTTTCAAAATATGATCCAATAAATGATGCATTTTGGAAACAAGGTGAACGGTATGTCCTTGTTTTAATAACCTTTAATACTGTTATTTTTTGCAGTGATAAAATACTTGTTTTCATAATCTTTTATAGGGTTCCATATATTGCATTAACACGCACATTGGAACTAATTGAAGAAACAAGCGCTCGATTAAAAATAATAGAAATTTTATCGAATTATTTCCGATCTGTTATAGTTTTAAGTCCAGATGACTTACTTCCTAGCATATATTTATGTCTCAATCAATTAGCACCTGCTTATGAAGGTACGCGTTCTACATATATCATTTATTTTTTCTTTTATTTTTCTTTTGTTTAAATGTCATCATTACTTTCAGGTATCGAATTAGGAGTGGCAGAAACAAATTTAATGAAAGCTATAGCACAATGCACTGGCAGAACTTTAGCTCAAATTAAAGCAGATGTCCAGACAGTTGGTGATTTGGGTATTGTGGCAGAAGGAAGTCGTTCCAATCAAAGAACTATGTTTCAACCTGCTCCACTAACAGTATCAAATGTATATACTAGGCTGAAAGAGATTGCACAAATGACTGGCTCCGCGGTATGACGTCTACTAATATAAAACAGTGCTGTCCTAAACCTTTTCTGTTTCGTTTATCAGATGATAATTTATTCTTAGATATTATTATTATTAGATTTATCTCTTTTTGATTAATAACTTTCTTAAAACTAATAATGACATAAGCACACAAATAAAAGCATGTAAAAGTTTCGTTCATGGACGGCATTGAAACATTTATTATAATTACTTTATACCGCTATTGTAGTCATATAACTTTTAGGATATTTTTATTGTAATTATATAATTTATTTTTACAGTCTTTAACTAGAAAATTGGATAAAATTCAGTCACTTTTTGTAGCGTGTCGTTTTACTGAAGCCAGATATTTGATTCGGTCTTTGGCTGGTAAACTTCGAATTGGTTTAGCAGAACAGTCTGTATTACAAGTAAGTACACCTACAAAAATTAGTCTGACAGTGTTACAAAAAATATGCTAAAAAAATATTTATAGGCTATAGCGTTAGCGTGTACTATGACACCACCAAAGCAAAGCTATCCACCGGAAATTTTAGATATGAGTAAGAAAATGTCAAGCGATGCTTTTAAGCAAAAGTACGACGAAACTGCGCTTACTTTTAAAACAACTTATTGGTAAACATTTGTTTTTACGTTAGATATCTGAATTTTTAATTTATCTATATATGTAAGAGTAATATTTATTTCAGTGAATGTCCGAATTATGATAAGATAATTCCCGTTCTACTAAAAGAGGGAATTGAAGAATTACCAAAAAAATGTAAAATTACACCGGGAATACCTATGAAACCAATGTTAGCGCATCCTACTAAAGGTGTGCAAGAAGTATTAACGCGTTTCGATGGACTGAAGTTCACTTGCGAGTGGAAATACGATGGAGAAAGAGCACAGGTTTATTTCCGTAATGTAAAAAAATGACATGTGATGAAAAAGCGTATTAAATTTCTATAAATACTTTGCAGATTCATTTTGCTGAGGATGGGAAAATTAGTATTTATAGTAGGAATCAAGAAAATAATACCAGCAAATATCCTGATATCATAGGACGATTTAAAAATACCAGAAGTGAAGAAATTGAGAGTTGTATTCTCGATTGCGAAGCAGTCGCTTGGGATAACGAGAATAAAAAAATTCTACCTTTTCAAGTACTTAGTACAAGAAAACGCAAGGTAATGCAAAATGCATAAAAGATTGCTTTCTAAATTTTATATCTATCTTCGTCTCACAGGATGCGAACGAAACAAATATTAAAGTTCAAGTGTGTGTGTTCATGTTTGATTTACTATATTTGAATGGAGAATCACTAGTGCAACAACCTTTTATAAAACGTCGTGAATTATTGAGAAAGAATTTCAAGGAAATGACTGGAGAATGGAAATTCGCAACTAGTTTGGATACTTCAACTATGGAACAAGTTCAAGATTTCTTAGATGAATCGGTCAAAGGTTAATTTTTGATTTTAATTTTTGAATTTTATAATAAATAATTTCAAAAAATATATATTATATTTAACAGGCAATTGCGAGGGTCTTATGGTGAAGACCTTAGAACAAGATGCAACATACGAGATTGCTAAACGCTCTCGGAATTGGTTAAAATTGAAGAAAGATTATTTAGATGGTGTCGGTGACACGTTAGATGTAGTTGTCATTGGTGGTTATATAGGTAAAGGAAAAAGAACTGGAACTTATGGAGGATTTCTTTTGGCTTGTTATGATCAAGAGAATGAAGAATATCAGAGTGTCTGTAAAGTAAATATCATTAACTTGCTATAACGTTCTGGAGTCCTTTTATATTTAGAGTAAATTTTATATTTGGCACTTTTTGGAACATCCCATACTCTTATGTTTTATGTTCATTTAGATTGGTACTGGATTCAGTGAAGAAGACCTTCAAAAGCATACCGAGTTCTTTAAAGAACATATAGTATCACAAACTAAGTCCTATTACCGTTATGACTCATCTCTAGAACCTGATCACTGGTTTGAACCAATTCAAGTCTGGGAAATCAAATGTGCAGATCTCTCTTTGTCACCTGTTCATAAGGCAGCTGTTGGTATTGTTGATCCAGAGAAAGGGATATCATTGCGATTTCCACGGTTTATTCGTATTCGTGATGATAAAAACAGCGAGGATGCTACATCAGCGCAACAAGTTGCGAATATGTACAACAGTCAAGAGCAGATAAAAAATCAAGCATCATCGACGAAAGTGGCTGAAGAAGACTTTTATTAAATTTAATGCTTTGTCGTAGTACTTGCCAGGAGATGGATTGTTTTATACTATATCGATACTCATTTGAAATATTTTGAATGTTAATAGACGATATTCTCTTTTCACAATATATATTTTATTACTTACGCATGATATTTCATTATTTACATGACAGACTTATGTCAGACTTAGATATTACATTCAATAAAACGAATTTATTATACTAGTAGTTTTTAATTTTCCAATACAAAATTTTCAACTGTGTAGAAGAATAAAAGATTTTGTAGACTATTGTGTTGAAATTTTTTTTGATATGTATTATGTCTTATGTACGCCTTGTAGTCTTTTCTTCAGAGCAGACATTTTTATAAAACGTATCTGATTGGTTCGCTTATATTTTGAGAAGTAGTATAGTCTGCACCAATTGTAAGTAGTCAAAGGCAGTAGAGGAAACGCAGCGCTGTATTGTTGTTATGCTCTTATTGCACTGTTACTCTGTCATATAGACATTTAATGTAAAAAGAGTAAAATATTTTAATAGTATTTGTGATAATATCAACATATAGGGTGAAAAGCTTTTTATTCATTTGACTGAATTGAATTTTTAACCTTGACTCCAAAAATCAATCAAAGATGCTGTCCGAATCGATGCGTCGTAAGTTATTTTATAATACAGTAATGTCGCAATGCTTCTCATCGGATGGTAGTTGCTTGGTAGCCGGAAGTCTTTACGGATATGTTGCAGTTTTCGAGTAAGTAGACATAAATAATCGGTACACAAATATAGGTTATGTTGACGTGTAAAGAACTTCTATTTGGAAGTCTTCAATAATGTCGAAGTTAATGTTACAATCTAGGATATATTTTTTAATTAATAGAATTTCTTTTTGTAGAATATCGAAAATATTAAGACCGCTGAGAACTGAATATGAATCACGACGCCCCAGTTATCACATTGAAGCTCATCCAGACTCTCACGTGGATAGTATGGTATCTACAGAGAATTTTTTAGTAACAGGATCAATAGGAGAAATATGTGGATGGGATTGGAAGTCAGTTACCTCGAGCAAAGCTGAAAAAACTAAAGCTTCATGGACTATAAAAATACCATCAGAAAAGTAAGACTATATAACAAACTCTTGAATAAATGATGTTGAAGTTACCTACAGTTTAAAACACAATCTAAACATTTTAAAAACAATCTATTTTTAGTGACAGCTATGACGGAGCAGTTGTATTTTCCCTTGCATACTGCAGTGCAAATAATCTTTTGTATGCTGGTTGTAATGATAGTAAGATTTATGTATTTAGCCTAGAAGATGGTAAATTAGTAACCACTTTGGAAGGACATACCAGGTTCATTCATGGTTTATCGCTGTTGTATGTATTGTATAATTAATCATAAATAATACGTAATATAGTCTTACATTATAACTCATTCCTTTTTCCACAGGGATTCCGGGACTCAATTAGCTTCGTGCAGTGAAGATGGAACAGTAAGACTATGGGATCTAAGGAAGAAAGAAAACACCAATGTATTAACCCCTAATTTGGTAGACAATATTCATAGATCAAGATTAGGAGAATGGATAGGTGCGGTGGATTTTACTGAGGATTGGCTGGTACTTATTTTTTTTTTTGTATCTTTCTGCAACACGTATATTTATTTTAATGTAATAATTGAAAACAGTCTAATATATAATAATTATCCAGTTATGCGGCGGTGGACCAAAGTTATCATTGTGGCATATGCGTACAATGCAACCAGCTACTGTATTTGATCTTCCGGATGAAGGTATTTACGTGGCAAAGATTTACGAAGAACGTATTATAGCCGCAGGACTTGCGTCCCACGTTTATAATCTCACTTATCAAGGAGAGATGTTATCTAGTATACCAACGTCCAGCGACACTACATACACTGTTGTTTATCAAGAAACTCCACAAAGACTGTTCAGCATAGGTGGTGCCTCTAATTTCCTGGACATTTGTACGAATTGTAATTACCGTGAATTATCGGTGCAATTTGCTCCGTAAAATAATGATAAATAATAACTAGTAACAATCATATGTATTTTCATATATTTACGTATTGACGTATCTTTTATTTTATACATTTTATGCATTTGTGTGTTTTTAATAAATATATTAACATAATGTGCATTTTATAAAATATGATGTAAAATTTTTTACAAATGTACAGGTATTTGTTCATTAGTTGCGATTTCTTCTTCAAATACCAGCAGATTCGACTAACAGAATATTGAAAACCAAATTCTCGTTACGAAGAGCACTGCGGTTTTTGTTTGAAAAAGCTAGCGGGAAAAATTAAACGGAGATGAAAAGTTAAATGACAAATTAATACAAAAATGATTTATTCCCGAACAGTCTCGAACGAGCAACTAATTTTAGACAATAGCAACGCAATAGTCATAGGAATCCGTGACCTGCTATCACCGCAGGTATAAATCCTTCCCGGCCGTCTCGCGAACGAACCCAGAACCAATCACTAACGTGATCGCTAAGCAATGCAACAACGTCGCCCTTGGAGACGCTTAGAGCGTTGCCACCTTGACCTTCGTAGTCGCTGCGTATGACGAGCAAAGTGTGCCGAGATCCTTTGGTACGAGCGTTCGCCGCGGCCCTCAGGTACAATCTGTCGACGCTGCGTTCCCCGCAGGCCGACACTGCGTCCCTAGAACCTCGCCTTACCCTTGGATTTCTGCCTCGAGCTCCGCACTCTGATCTCGTGTCTCTGAGCTTCTCTGCATCAGTCATATTGCCTGGAAGGATCAATTAATTAATGAAAGAATAAGACTAGTAACAAATGGGAAATGAATTGTTCCATTACCTAAGGGACGAGGAAATACGTCTGTAGAGTCCTCCCAACATGGTCCTCTGGTTGGTTGTGGTAATATTCCTAATGGTAGGCAAGCTGCATAGCCGACATATCCTTCCTGGCCATGTGGAGTTTGAACGTACAACCAGGTTTGATTCTTGAACACCGCATTTACGACTGTTCCAAGAGGAAGGGCCATCTCATCTTGAGTACCGCCTTGAGTCTGGTACAGGACGGATGGAAACGAAAGGACTACAGGAATGTTGGCAGGCTTTTCTATCGAGGCCTGTAAATATCAACCAATATTGTCGAGATCATGTCAAATTAGCATCATTACAACTAAAATGTCGTTTATTTTCAAGAGAAAAAGATTGGCTATTGGTTCCTATCGAACATCTGAGAACTAATGATTGTTATAAGTAATTCAAGTTTGTATAAATAATTGAACATCAACAGTCACATCTTCCATCCATCGCAATAACTCCAAGACGAATAACACATAATAAACATTCTAAATATATTTACAATATTCATAAAATTAACGAAAGATGCAACTTACCAATAGAACAAAAATCATTTTCAATAACATACAACTTTGCTTAAAAATTTTATTCACGTTGAGATATTAAAGTCATTTGTTTCTAATAAATTATTAGAACTTTATCCTTATTCTAGTAAATAAATACTTTTTATTCATATCCTTGCTTTCTCATACTGAAGTATTTCTTCTCATACTGAAAGTATTTGAGTAATTATAACGTTCCTGTGTCCCTTTCTCAAAAAAAAAAGAAGTAGTTTTCAAAAAGAATATTCCAAACTTTTAAACGAGATGGTAAACTACAACTTCTTCTTATCCTAATAGACCAATCAGATACTAGACGATCGTGCAAGAATTAATCAATGAAAGAGTACTTTGGTGAGGTACGCATCGAGATCCGCTATTTCGTAGCCAAATCTGCTTGGAGGTCTGGGCTTGTGGGATCGTTTAGTCCTTCGATGCCTGTGTTTCTCCCGGCCGTTAGGCGTGGACGTTGACTCACGAGATACGAGAGATGGTTCGGACACTGCCCTCTTAACTTTCTCCTTCTCCTTCGTCTCCTTCAGCCCTGAAAATTCCTTTTCGGACTGCTTCTCCAGAGGACTGTCCAACGATCTTTCGTTGACCAGTATCTCTTTATCGACAGACTGAAAGAGAAAGAGAATGACAATTAGTTACGAATCACATGTAAAGTTATCATTTGTTGTTCTTTATATTAAGAAATATCAAAAGTACCTTCTCTTGCGCCTCCACTTTTTCTGTCCTCTCGATCTTCTCTATTCTATGCAGGATCTTCTTCTCGCGCTTCTCCGCGTCAACGTTTTCTTTGCCGCTATCTTTTTCCTTCACACTTTTCACGCTCCTCTTCGAGGACCTTTCCTTGCTGTCTCGCGACAAGGCCTCTCGATCGCCGTTTCCACCTATTAACATTAAGACAGCATCGTTTCTTAGAATTAATTTATTCTCTTTGAACGGAGACACTGTCATTTGTCCTTATCAGGAATTAAGTGTGTAATGTACGTACAAGATTTAAATTGGCACGATTGCTTGGCCTCAATTTTCCGTATTTGGAATATTGCCCGATACAACATTTTCGTTGCGTAATTACTACCTAATTCAACTTTCATGTGGTTCATTGATTCAATTTTCATCGAAAGGCAAGGAAGATTCATTGCAATCGTGCGAAAAATTCGAATTTGAATGGTAATTTTTAATTCTTTAAATTGAAAATTAAGTTGGAAATGGAAATTTTATATACAATGAGTTGGATACTGATTTCAGAGGAACTTTTTCTCCTCCTTTCCGACTCGATGGGTTTTGCCGGTACTGAATGATCAAATATATCACTGACCAAATTCTTTCTTCATTACAGCGTCTATAATCTTGCTAATCACGGTCCGGTTGAAAACTAGAAACAGGCTACTTGCTTTCGAACAATCACGAAATCTGTCTCGTCCCAGCTAGACGTTTGCGTGTGTAATGCACGCGACGTGATGCAAATTATAACTAGTGTTTTCCAAAAAAAAAGAAAAAAAAAGAAGAGATTCTTAAATCAAAGGATTCTTAATCCCTTGTAGGACCTTCCGAAAGTTGCACTGCAAGAAGATACAACTCGTTCAAAGTTGGCAATTCTCCGTATTCTGTACAGCGAAGCACATGCTATTGGCCGTAATTCCAAGAATTTAGACTTCATCCTTTCACTCTTGGATACTCTTATTCTCCACGGACCTGCGTTTCCATTGGCGGTAGAGTGATTGTTGTTGGACGCAGGTTGCTGTTGCCCGCGTAAGACCCAGGTCAAAGAGATTTTGGGGCGCAGCAGGGTGCTTGGCCGTTGACCCATGCTCCTCGGCGGTGCGAGGGGCGTCGACGATCTGGGTGGTGACGGCGACCTCGACGAGGGTGTCACTACCTGCAAAGGACAGTCCGCCACCAGGTCCACCGTCTGCACCGAACAGCCATGTTCCTTCAATCCAAAGAAACGAATTTTAGACTGGCTCTTTAGACAGAACTTGAGAACTCCTCTGATTATTTAAAACCAACTTTTGTCTGCCTCGCGGCTCGTTTAAAAATTCCTTCTTTCATCAAAGTTTTTTTTAAGATTATGCTTCAATAAATATGGAAATTCTATTCTACTTTATATCTTTTGATTTAGCCAGTCGTTTACATGACGAGGGAAGATACGACAAATTTTCGTTGGATGCTATTGGATGACCAACCCGGACAATATTGAACGTAGGCAAATACTGACAATAAGCTAGCAACAGTTCACATAAAAGTGGACTGTGAATAGTTAGTCATAAGGGCAAGATCCAATAGTTGGTCATCTATGCTCCTTCCCCTTCCACTTGACGATGATAACCCAATACATATAAGGACATGCTTCAGAGACATTCACTCTCTCTTAATACATTCTAAATCATTATAGATTCATTCAATATCGCTAACTCATAAAACATTCTAAATCATTCTATATCGTTAAGAGCATTAGACATTCATCATATCCTAAGACAGTCTAAATCATTGTATATCATCCTATTTCATACAGAACCACGACTGTAAGGGAATAAACTCTTCTAAATTGTAAACGTATTGACTCCATTACACGGAATCCAACAATGCGCAACTGACACGAATGATGAATAAAACTTCGAATTTTATCAATTATTACTAACTTATTCACAGCGCTGTCCTATAATGAATTAGCGGGAGAAAGAGGTTCAATTCATTCGTTCGAGGCACATACATCGTCTATGGTATTGGTACGAACTAATACACGCAAACAAACGGTACAAACGTACTCTTAATTTCCCTTGACACTCTAAAGGAAAGTTCTTAACGTTTAATTTTTACATTTGTGCCTTTCAATATTTTTTTTTTTTTCAACTTTACTGCTGAAGAGGAAAACACGTCGTGTTAACTGGTTGGTATAAGTAGCTCGAAACGAGCGTCACGTGTGCTTCTAACATGAATGTAAATAGACGTGGATGCACAGGAAATGAGCACTATTCAAGGGGCTAGTTTGCGTTACAGAAGTGCACTTCCCTTATACAAGAGATAAATAGAATGACTGGCTCGTGAATAATCAAAGGACGTCTCGGCAGCGAGTTTACACGCGTGAACTATTCAGAAATTGAAATAGGAGGCTCGTTAAGGCCGTTGTTCGCTTAATTTCGTACCTTGGTAAAACCAGCACGATTGTTAACTCGACTGCAGCAATTTGTAGACGCGATTTCATCGATTGTAGACTTCTCTGTCTGAGATTTATCGAAAGAACATCAAACAGTAATATCAATCACCTTTATTTACGGAAGATTAATTTTAATCGTTGTTACGATTATTGGTTAGCTCAATTGTTAATTCATTTCTATGACATTTCGGAGCATTTGTTTAATTTGTTCAACGACTCATTAAATCGTTGATTGAACACTTTAAAAAATTGAAAGGATTAAAATTATTTCCTACGCTGATTAAAAGTTAAAAAAATTAAAATCATTGGATTTTAGATTTTCCTAGCCCAGCCTTTCACTGATCGTGAATCACTCACGCTAATTTATTAAACGACGAATGCGTTAATAACGAGTCGACAAAATCCGCGAGAAATCGTCCGGCTCGTTCGCGCAAGATAGAATCATACATCGCACTTACGTGAACCGTTTGACCACCGGTATGTTGAGTCGCGGTAAATCTCACCGGTTGTGCAGCTCTTTCTACGATTATTAATTCGTCTTATAGGCGTTCAATTAGCCCACGGGCCGGAGCTCGCGCGAATGAATTATTCGCCGACGCACGCGTGTGTCCCCGGCGTGCTTCACCGCGCCGCGGAAATTTACGGCCATCGCCTCGCATAAATACACCGCAAGCCACCATAGGCCACCGTAAAATTTACGAACGAACGTCGCGGAGACGCCGTCTTGTAAAATTTCTACACTGTGGCCACCTCTTTCCGGTTCTTCGGCCACCATGTTGATCTTTCTAGGAAACAATGAGACCCGGAAGTGGAGGACTCGTTCGGCCGCTCAAGGTACCTCAAGGATTCATTGTGGTTACGGTGGTTAGGTTAGGAAGTAATAATCCCGTGCGTCAGATTAAGACAAGTATTTTTAACGAGGTTTCAGATTAGAGATACTGCGTTTGACTCTTTTCATCTGTTCTTCATAATATTCAGATATTATAAAATAGCTCTTTCTTCCTGTAATTCTATCCCATGAAATTAAAAAAAAAAAAATCACATAATCTTACAGCCGAGAGTCGCTTCGATCTTGTTAGAAAAATTCATCTGGAAGAATCCGAACTGATCATCGTTTCATTTTCTATTAACCACTTGCGCTGGCAACTGATTGCGGACCATAACGAGTGACCAAACACTGTACATAATAATTCGTCGCTTTCTTTTTGAACTCGTCGGTATATCACTGGATAGAAATGATTGAGAAGTAATAAATTTTTTGGATATACTTGAATATATTTAAAACTGAGAAAGTATTATTATTTTCTCAGTTTTAAATATATTTAAAAAATATAAATATTATTATATAATATTAATAATAATAATAATAATAATATAATAACAAAATATTGTTATTTTCTCAGTTTTAAATATATTTAGAAAATATAAGATATTATTATATAATTTTGGGACAGAAAATTCTCGACGTGTGTAGCACGTCGTTCCAGCGCAAGAGGTTACGAAAAGAACTCGTCTCTTGACAGAAAATCGGCCACGATTGCCGAGTTCCCAGCATCGTTTCCCATTTAAAACGAATCGAGAGGAATATTATTATTTTCTCAGTTTTAAATATATTTAAAAAATATAAATATTATTATATAATATTAATAATAATAATATAATAATAAAATATTGTTGTTTTAAATATATGTAGATAAATACAAGATATTATTATATAATTTTTGGACAGAAAATTCTCGACGTGTGTAGCACGTCGTTCCAGCGCAAGAGGTTAGGAGAGGAACTCGTCCCTTGACAGAAAATCGGCCACGATTGCCGGGCTCCCAGCATCGTTTCCCATTTAAAACGAATCGAGAGGAATATTATTATTTTCTCAGTTTTAAATATATTTAAAAAATATAAATATTATTATATAATATTAATAATAATAATATAATAATAAAATATTGTTGTTTTAAATATATTTAGAAAATACAAGATATTATTATATAATTTTGGGACAGAAAATTCTCGACGTGTGTAGCACGTCGTTCCAGCGCAAGAGGTTAAGAGAAGAACTCGTCTCTTGACAGAAAATCGGCCACGATTGCCGAGTTCCCAGCATTGTTTCCCATTTAAAACGAATCGAGAGGCTCGCGCGAATCTTTCAGCAAGCCCTTCCTTCCATCCTCTCGCGTGGATCCGATCTTCGAAGACATTCCGCGTGCCTCTCGGTTGGTGGACCCGGTCTGCAAACGCGTTCCTATGAATTATTGCCACCATTAACGTGAATAATCGCGCCGCCGGGAAAATTATATAGTAATTTGTTCACGGCTGATCGAATACGTCGGTGGATTTTTATATTCTCTCTTTTGCGCGCCGGTGTAATGAAGAGCGGAGGGGCTAGCCCCGGGGGAAAAGCGCGGCGTCGCAACCCCGGGCATAAGTCACCATTGGCCATGAAAAATGAAGACGTTTCCGACCCGGGCCGGGGCTTTCGATTTTACGCGGTGAATGGGCCGGCTAAGTAGCCATTCCGATGCCCCCGTTATAATTTATACCGGGGCCCTTTGTGTTGTTGTTACGATATTCTTCCGGTGATCTCTCGGCCGGACGATCACCGTCGATAACTGCTTTCACTCTGGTTCTTTTCCTTTCTTTCAACCGAGGGGGGGGATTTTAGTTTGACAAAGGAAGTCATTGGAAGAACGAAAAGTATTGTTTCGTGAGTGATACAGTCTGTAGGTCATTGGATACGTGGTGGCCTCGTGAAAGTATTTGGACACTTTAGAGACACCGGAAAGTACAACGATTTTTATTAATATTTTCAAGATGTTGCTCTATGTGTAGATACACAGTTGGTCATGTATTTGAGCACAGAAATATTTTATGAAACATGTTTACATTTTATTTGATACTGTAACGAGGCTAGACTATCGTGATTGATGTTAAAAACAGGTAAATAGGTATACGTAGGAATTATATGTTCAAACTTGACCACATTTGGGATCTCGAAATGAAACATTAAATTTTCTCATCTCTCTATCTCTAATACACTCTAAATTAACACAAGGACTGTGTAACAACTTTGGATAACTCACACGACACAATAGCATCAAGCAGATACACACCAGAGAGTCCCAGAAATCCTACCAAAAGATCCTCAGGATCAACACCAGCCAAGCCACCGTGTGTTCGATTTCAATAAACGCTGAACGAGACGTAAAAAGTGGAAAAGTGGAGTCTTTATCTCTCAAGGGAGATAATTAGGGATCTACTCGGGATCTAGTGAACTAATCAGCCCTGGCGAAAGAAATAAGTCCGCAGGAGATGGGGGAAGAGGGAGGGTCTGGTTGTAAGTGACAGAAAGGGCCGGTCCGTGGCGTGAACGAACACGCGAGGTAGCCCCGGAGGTGACAAGTTAAAAAGGTGGAGGAGGTCGGCGGCGTAAGACCAAGGCAGCGCGCGTGCAGCCTCCTTCTTCCTCGCGGATCATGCTAATGAAATTCTCAAGATATCTATCTCGCGCGCCACCGTGCGCCGGGCATTAGTTTAGCGTCTGGCTCGCGGCCACCTCGATCTTATCTGTCCACCTTCGGACGCACGGTATCAATTTCCCTGGAACGTGAAACAGACGGACCAGATGGTGGCTCGTCACCCGATTCGCGTTTCACCGATCCTTCCAAGCTGCTGCTTCTTGTTGTTCTCCCTCTCTTTCTAGTGACGTCTTACAATTAGAATGTGACGTTGCGGAGAGATAAAACGTTTCCTTACGCACATGGGTACTTCTGGCTGTC